CCTATTTTGGCAAGTCTAGGGGGCGACTGCCCCCTGGGCCAGTCCACCCCTGCTATATCGTGTTAAGAAAAAACACAGGATGAGCATTTTATATTGCCTTCCCCTAGAAAAATATTTATTTTTTAGCTTGATGAATTATTTGTCTTGACATGTTCAGCGGCACTAGATATGAAGGTGCAAATGAAGTCTTAGGAAAATTCGCGTGTTTCACAAAAAATGCACATGTTGTCTAGTAAAATCTAGTTTTTTAGAAAGAAATTTAGCAACGTGTGAATGCTCATACAGTGTTATCCCCGAGCACGGAAGCATCAGAGACGTTTTACACCAATGACGGAAGTTTCATCGCCATCTGTTCCTTATCGATGTTGAGGGTAGCCTGTGGATCGTAAAAAAAGCAAATTAGGCAAGCGTTTGTAGTTATGAGAAATCGACCTGTGATTGGTCGTAAAAACAACCTCCGGAGATTGCTCGTTTACGAGACCGGGGGTGACTCTAGAAAAAAAAAGAAAATAATGTGGTATTTTCTACTCGATATTGCGGAACTGTGATATGTTTTTGACTCATCGCAATATCTTTATTTATATCTTCAGGTTCGGTTGACGAATTTCGTGGTGAACAAAGCTGTCAGATTTTTGATGAATTTTTTTTTTTTTTCATATTGGTATAGATCATTACTTGAGTTTTTTTCCCTGAGAGCACACAAACTGCGGAGTGATCTCAAAGCTACTGCTTGAATTATTTCGACAAATCGCCATTTGCTACGTGTTTTCTAAGTTTGACAGTCTAAAACTACCTCGCCAGATTAGATGGTGAGCTCAGCGAAGCCAATTTTAGATCCAACATGACTTAATTACTTATCATTACCCAGGCAATGTGACGTAGTTTAAAGTGGAGCTCCTAGAGCTGCGGAGTATTCGACTTAATTTAATAATATTCATATTCAAGAACCACGATGATAACACTGGTTTCGTCAAAATCAACTCAAAGGCTCGTTAAAAGTTCTCTAAGTTGTAATCAAGATACCCTCACATGAGGACTTTAATGTAAATAGTTCTTTATAGAAACGTTTAATGTTACACTGGAAAAAGTGTCTTTGATCTAGAGTCCAGACTCTTAAAAATCTGACAAGAAAAAAATACTCTTAATTCGATCGGGTTAATGCTTAAATCAAATGGAAATCCTCTTTAATGAATAGGTATCGCTTTCTGTCTATCTCGATTTAAAGGGAAATCCAATTGAATGAAGAGTATTTTTACTGGTCAAATTTTCTGAGACTCTGGACTCTGGATGTAAGAGACTTCCTTTTCCAGTGTACTCCTTAAGACAACGATATAGCACAAAAACATAGCCCGAATATACGAATAAAGAAGGAGAAAATTAAAACATGGGTAAACAAGGCTAAAACATTAGAAACACTAAAAGTCAGGACGTTTCCAGCTGTTACCAGCTCATTTTCAGCTGCCAAAAAAAACACAAAAATCAAATGAAAAATTGAAAGGCGACCTGACCCCAGCCGTTATCATGAAACCACTTTTTTTATTTGTTTTTTGTGTTTTTTTGCAGCTGAAAATGAGCTGGTAACAGCTCGAAACGTCCTGCCTCTTAGTGTTCTTAATGTTTTAACCTTGTTTATCCATGTTTTAATTCTCTCCTTCTTTACTCCCTGAGACATGACCATGAAATTAATGCAACATTTCTCTCACCCCCTTCACCTTTCACCCCTTCATCCTCACCCCCTTAACTTCTCCCCCTTGACCCTGTCCCCAACTCTCTACCCGACTTTCCATCTTCTTAAATGAATATCACAGTTTACGATAAGAGATCCTTGGCGTTGTAGAGGTGATAATGAGGCAACGTATAAGAATGGATTGTATAGCGCGGTCGCGGTGTGATACATCTGTCGACAGATACTGGTAAATTCCTCGCGGTCGCGGCAAGCGGGGGCGGATCAAATGAGAGTTATTCAAACAAGAGAAACGCTCGCTGACGGACAGCGACAAATATCGGTCAAAATTTGAAGTGGGCCCCGATCATGATTTATTGCTTTCAACGCGGCAGAAATGAACACCGTCCAAAAATCTCGTCCTTACAGCGAGATTCGATTTTCGATATTTTTACTCGCTGATTAAAGCGAACCTCGTTGCTCGGAGATCGACCGACCTAAATTCGATGCGGAGATTCCGTATCGCACCTCGTTAGATTGGTGTTTTCGTTCCATCCCATTTTACAGCCAATTAACAAACTGGAAAGCGATAAAAAATGAACTCTCCGCGACCCCCCTTATTTTAGTCTTGTTTTTTCGTCAAATTTTGGCACTCGTGCAGTCAATCTGGTCGCTAAGTATACATAGCTGCGCTGATTCATATACTCCCTAAGTAGCACCTGTTCACTCTTGAGGAGACAAGATTGATCTCAGATCTGAATATTTAAGACTTTCCTCACAGCTTTTGTACCTGTGATAATTTTTCGTTGAGAATGTCGATGCCGCAAGTTAGAGGGATGTCAATATGTATTTTAACATCCATTAAAAGCGTTTAAACAAATCTAAACGGACGGAGAAGCTTCAAGCGGGATTTTGAAATGTCATCATTCTAGGAAGTGTTACTATTATTTAAAGGTGTTCTTATCAAAATCAATTTAAAGGTGCGGTAGCTGTCGGATTCACCTACTTGCCGCCTATTGGCCGCCTGTATTTTGCCGCCCCCTTCTCATTCGTTTTGAAACTCAATAAAAACCATCAAGTGAACGTGCCAGCGGGGGAGGGGTGCATAAGACGCATTTACTCGTGTTGAACACATTTTTTGGGAAAACCCTGTCAACACTACTAGCATAAGTTCACAGAACTTTGCGTAAAAGTTAAGTTTCGTAAACCTATCTCTGTGTGGACAAGGCCTTCTATTCATAAGAAATGAACAAAAAAATTATGAAAGAACAAACATAAATGTTGTTCAATGATTTTAACTTCCGCCGCCGCGCCGCGCAGACCGCACCGTGTTTGGCGCAATGCGTGAAGTATTCCGACAGTCTTGTAGGCGCTATGCGTTTCACGCCGACCGCTGCTGAACGCATTGTGTTGGACGCAAGGCGTGGAGTATTCACGCAGTCTTGTAGGCGCTATGCGTTTCACGCTTACCGCAATGACCGCACTGTGTTTGATGCAATGCGTGAAGTATTCGTGCAGCCGTGTGGGCACCAATATGTGTTACATGCCAATCGCCGCGTTGAGGGCTTCTCCTTTTCATCTCGAGTCCTCGTCATCATTTCTCTCTAAGTCGCACCGTTCCAGGCCAAATTGCGAGTTTGGTTTCTCTCTTAACTCGACTAATTAAAGGTGCTGTCTCTTGCACCACTAAGAGACGACAAAATTAGAAATTACTATACTCTCAGGATTTTGTCGCCTCCTCTCGTTTGTATTTTTTTTCTAAATCTGATTTTGTTTTATACCTACACTTAAAAAAACTGCAATTTTTTGCCGCCCCTTAGATTTGCCGCCATGAGCCGCGGCCCGCGGCCCATGTGGCCACCCCCTTAATCCGGCCCTGGGTAGCTTCAAATTTATGTATTAAAGAAATGAACAATTTGGAAAGTGACAAGCATGGGCAGTAGGTAGTTTACCGTACATCGACGGTGAAACTACCAAACCACGTATCTCGGTTTGCGACGTCGCAGACTTCCTGTCATACATTATTTTTTAAATGAAAAACTACTTAACGTCTAGTCTTGAAAATTTCTGTGATTTTTCCTCTTTGTGCTGAGAAAATTCTGTGAAAATTTCAAGGGATGATATTGATTTGGTCGACTTCAAAAAAATAAAATGCGAGCGTAGATTTTTAAACACCGCAAACGAGATACGTGGTTTGGTAGTTTCACCGTCGACATGTAAGTGATATAACGTGAACATTGAAAAATCTACTTTGTATATTTTTTTTAGTAGAATATTCTGAAAATATTCACTGGATATAGGTACCGTAAAATATTCTATTCAGATTATTCCAAGAGAATTGAAAATCAGTTATTCTTAAAATTTTCATTTTCATTATACTCAGTGAGTATTCTTAGTGAAATATTGTGCTTCGCTTTCTGGAGCATTCTCAAAACATATTTAAAGAATCGAAGATCTACGAACCGCCCCGTACGATAGATAGCAACGGTGCGGCACCCCTGCTCATTTTAGAAATTGACGCGCTTAATCAGAATCACAAACAACTCAACTACCTGAAAAATTTCTTACTTTTCTCTTCAGCTGCTTTTTCTTTTATTTTTACGAGTATTTCTATTTCTTTTTTACAAAAAGCTAGAAAACAATCTGACTTGAAATGTCATAAGTTTATTCCTCAAAACCTATGGAACATTTATAGAAAGTTTCAAAATGAATCATCCAAAAGCGTCCGTGTAATCATCAGATGATAAATGTCTATTTATTAGTTTCCGACCTATTCAGTAGGTTAATTAACAAAATTTATATGAAAGTTTAATACAATGAACTATTCCCCTCTCGATGGAAATATAGGCATACGTAAAGTCATTTTTCTAGGGGAGGCCTCCGCCTCCCCCGGAAAATTCTCGAAATTTTAAATATACTTGGACGCATGTTGTGGGTTCTGTGACGCAGATATTCCATCAATTACTGTGGAAAAATTACGGTAATTTGTTTACTTTCAGCAAAGAATACTTTCGAATTGTTGCATTCAATAGATCCGGAAATTGTTTTAAATTTATATTCTATTTGAACGCTTTTTGAGGCTTACACGATGAAAATTCTAGAAGATACTAACTGAATGAGCGGTGTTTTCATTTCAGACGCTATAGGTACATCAAAAGAGATAATCATCCTTGAAGATTTTTTTTCCACCATCCATAATTTCTGGGGGGCAGCTGATACGGTTTTCAATTCTAGGGGGACCAGGCCATCCTGGACCCCCTCTTCGTACGGTGAATCTGACTTTTGAATAATTTTACCAATTAAGGGAGAAAAACATGGATGAAATAACTATCCTTACCCGAAGAGCCAACGCGTGTCCGCTCGCATCGTTTGCTTGATTTACACTCCAGCGACTGTGAATAAACGGAGATACATTGACCGACTCATGATGAAATCTTTCACCAACCGTTTTACACTTCCTTCCAAAACCGCACCAAACTTTGGAATAACATGAAGCCTCGTCTTTGACTTTAAAAACGAAAACCCTTGTCACTACCAATTCCTCGGCCGAGGTACCATACCACTCGGCTCGACACTTTTGAGAGTTTTGCAAACCACGGCATCTTTAAGCGTGCAAAATTTTCCACCGGAAAACACGGAAGCTACTGTTCATGTCACGTTTAAAAAAGTTAATGTTCGCACACTGTTCATGAGCTCGGATTTTCTTGAGTCCGCCTTACCCTCGTATTTGAGGTGGTGTAAAAATTAAACGTCAGGATCTAGATATTGCTAGAATTTAGATAAGAAACTTTCGGGGATCAATCTCGGTGATAGACTCAAAAAACTCTTGAGTAATTGAGGATCAACGCGGTTGGATTTGGGATAAAAATCTCAAAACTTAAAAATAATAAGGAAAAATGACCTCTTACATTTACTTTTAAGCATCTGTGGTCTGTCAAACTGTATTCTATATTGGACCATTTGCTATAATTATGAATAAAAATCAATTTCGAGACAGTTAACGCGATCGTTTCTAGTGAAAAAGAAAAGGTTACATTACGAACAGCTTGGGATTCGGCCCAGGTTTGGAGATCAATTACTGAAAGTTGTGTCAGAGTTCAAATAGAGAGCCAATCATGCCACTCGTTATCTTCTAGTATCTCACCTCGCAAAAGTAATTTTTTAATGTAATCCAGATAAACAAATAAAATGGCAAATAAAGAGGAGCTCCGGAGAGTTACTAAATAACTGACACTTAAAATTTGAAAGACTATCTTTTCTGAAGACACTGATTTTGTAGATTGGCACTATCATATATGAAGTCAAAGTAAAATGTTTCTGTAAAATTTGATGGATTTTTTTTTTTTTTAAAAAAAAAAAGAAGGATTTGAGTTATAATTTGAAATAAGGTTTAACATGCGACCCTCCGTCAGTAAATTTTCGAAAGTAAGAGTCTCAAAACGGATCTAAAAACCGAGGCAAATGTAATTTTTATCGTTGTTAATTGATAATATAATTTTCAATGCACTTGCTTTCCAGGGAAGCGAACTGATGACAGCTAACTATTTTCAAAAGCGAGACTTTTCAATGCCATCTAATTCAAAATCCTGACTCCCGCTGATCGGATCTCAGTAACGAATCACGAATTCGCGCGCCAGTCGAGATTCGAACCCGGGACCCTGAGACACGTGACGACGGGCGCAGCGTTTGTGATAACTAATCTGGATGTTTGACCGGGAAGCGACAAAAGCGATTAAGTGGCGCTCCGGAACGCGGGCAACGGCCCCTGGCGGCGGAAAGACAAAACGAGCATCTTCAATCTGCCATCAGGATCGGCCGACGGAACAGACCTCTCTACTATCCTACTACAGTTTGCACTCCACGACTCCAGTCAAAGGGTCAATCCACACTGCACACCTATCACAATATGTCGTTTGTTGTGCCCCCCCCCCCCCCCCCCCGCCCTCGCACGAATGATTCCCATTCCTGATCTCCTCCCACACTGCTGTTCTAAGGAAGAACGCCGCATGAACCTCCAGACGTTGCCAAGTTTTCTCCGATAAAAACCAAATTTACTGGGAAAATTGTGAATATTATTGTCTAAAATTATCAGACATTTTTGTACGCAATTTAATCTAAAATATCTGAAAATTTCAAGGAAAAATATGCCTGAACGTTGTCAAAAATACATGTCTTATCAAACGAGATTTGGCAACTCTCGAATGTTCATACGGCGTTCTTCCTTAGCACGGCAGCTTTCCCGTAAATACATCTCTTTGTTTTTGCACAGTTTTTGTCGAACAAAATACCTGATTTACAATCTTAATCGACAGCTGGAATAGCGTGATTTTTTTGATTACTTAATTTCGACAGACGTCAACAAAAGAGCAAGTTTAAATCGACGGTTACACTTCCAAACCATCTGTTAAGTTTGAAACGTTGCGGACTTCCCGCCATACCTCATTTTTTTTTTTTTTTCTTTTTTCTTTTTTTCTTTTTTGAAAATTACTTAACGGCGGCAATTTTTAAAAACTGTCGCGGTTTTTCTTCTTCGTGCAAGGAAAATTCTGTGAAAACCTCGAAAAATTATATTGATTTCTTCTCCTTTGAGGAAACAAAATAGGAGCGGAGATTATAGAACACCGCAAACGAGGTCCGTGCTTTGAGAGTTTCACCGTCGAAATGTATTTCTTTTCCCTCTTAATTACAAAACACGAGTTTCATCTCTTTAAAAACTCGTCCAGATATGTTTTTGGAGCTCGAATGAAATTTTATAACTTAAACATTCTTGATTTTAGATGCTAATTATTTAGAACTCATTTCCTGACTCAGATAAAATTGTTAACGATAAAGTCGCTATTAAACATATCTCGTGAAGTTTTAATAATCATCAAAACAATTCTTTTAGGATGAATTATTTCAAAATGGATCGTCATAAAGTATCTGGAATGGAAAAATGTTCATGCTTACTTGTCTTATATTCGATGTAAACTGAATATGGAGAAGAAGATTCGATTCATAGTGGCATATTCGCCACATTCAAGAAGTCAAGTCATTTGTTTCGGATAAAATGTGCGTCATCCTCGGTGTAACTTCCAAGTTTTTCTTTGAAAAGTTTACTGATCAACCTAAGTGCTAGTCGGGGAAACTTAACTTGCGGCACACTCTAGATTAAAAGAAACGAGAGTTTTGGAATTTGTGCCATTTCCGATTCAGAGCAAGACCTCTACTGAAATTTCCTCTTATTTATGGGCAGACTTCAACAAATAAATTATATTAATATGAACATTAAATGTAATTACGGGGAGTTCACATTTTTGGTTTTTAGTTGCTTTATTAGTCAAGCCGATGTACAATCCTTTTACTTGATTAGATAAACCGCTTATGACGGTAATAAGCTTCCTTTGAATCGACGAAAGACCATAGAAAGCCTTCAATATTCTATGATACCAAAAGCGCGGCTGCAAATGAAATGGGTGAGAAGTAAAATACTCGACCAGATGTACCGGCTTCCGGCTAATAATAAAAGTTGGCGCATTTCAACGCCTTGTTATGTGTTGTGTTGAGCTTTATATACATTCACTCAAATTAAGGCTGTAAATTGGGACTCTCCTAAGTATGACAAAAGGCCTCGAATACGTGGCGTTTCCAGAGGTAGACCATGGAGCCTAATGCTTAATATTTCACTTATTACAGAATCAATATATTGATTTCCAGAACTTTTTTTAGAAGGAATCTACAGTCTCTATCTGTATGTCTCTCCATCGTATCAACTTAATCAAGAATTTCGAATAAAGTCCAATTTCAAAAGGGACTTGGGCCTGATTTTTTACGAAACTGGTCAATACAATGATCCATGTGCCTTTTCATTATTGGGCCTTCAAACATTTTATTATTTGACCAAATCGCAAGAGTCCAAGATAGCAGTATGATATTTACCGCATGTTTGCGTGGTTACGGTTCGCACAAGTAATATGCACAATTTGACGGTTAGAAATTGGCAGGAGAGGGTAGCGGTAACTATACAGCTGTCTCACAGAATAATGTGGATTTTCTGGGTTTATTTTTGTCTGAAATGACGTCAATATCCAAATTTACTACTTCTTCATGACTCTGGATTTTTTTTTCTCGCATGAGACGAATCTTATTGTTTGTAGTGGTTAAGTCTGTTCATAAAAATTGAATTACTAGGACTTTATAGCGTAGGCGATCCAGACACATCAAACGGGGGGGGGGGGGGGGGGG